AAAAATATGTAAAGAACTTACAGACTATAGAGGTGACAGAATATGCGGATTAGTTAGAATTAACGTTCGTTAATGCATTTATTTGTAAGTGATTTATTAAAAAATATGTAAAGAACATACCTCCTATAGAGGTGACATAAAATATGTGGATTAACGCATTTATTTGTACGTGATTTACTGTAAAAAAAGAACTTACAGACTATAGAGGTGACATAAAATATGTGAATTAACGTTCATTAATGCATTTATTTGTAAGTGATTTATTAAAAAATATGTAAAGAACTATTTGTATCTTTAAAGGAAAACAATTACCACACGGCGAAAATATTCCACCTGGAGTTATTGCTTGGTTTCAGCACAATGGTTGGATGGATACTAGCTTGATGATACGATATATTGATTATCTCAATAACATGAAAATTAATGATGAATATGAGATCCCGACGATAATGGTATATGACTCTTTTAGTGAACATTTAGAAGATTCCATTAAGGATGGATTTTGGAATAGTGGTATTGATTTAGTAGTAATCCCAGGCGGTTTGACTAGCATTTGCCAACCACTTGACATCGCAGTTAATAAACTATTTAAAGACAATCTTCGCAAAGAATGGCATCTCTGGATGTCAAAAGGTGGTGCTGGGTTAACTAAAGCTGGAAACCTTCAACGTGCTAGGATAGGTGATGCATGTGGATGGGTAGAACGTGCATGGGAACAAATTTCAGAAGAATTAATTATTAAATCTTTCATAAGGTGTAATATTTCAAACGAGTTTGATAAAAATACTGATATCAATAGTGACAAATTGGGGGATTCTAACAATGAATATGCAAGCGAAGATATTGAAATCATGAATGTTAGAGAAGATGAATATGCAGATGAAGATATTGAAGTTATTGATATTAGCAAAGATGAATATGCAGATGAAGATATTGAAGTTATTGATATTAGCAAAAATATTGAAATCATAAATGTTAGCGAAGATGAAAGTATTGAAATCATTGATATTAGTAAAGATATTGAATTCATGAATGTTAGTGAAGATGAAGATATTGAAATCATTGATATTAGCAAAGATATTGAAATCATGAATGTTAGCGAAGATGAAGGTATTGAATTCATTGATATTAGTGAAGATATTGAAATCATTGATATTAGCGAAGATATTGAAATCATAAATAGCGAAGATAATAACATTGTAAATCTTAGCGAAGATATTAAAATTATGGGCATTAGTGATTATTAGCTTTATTTAGTAGCTTTATTTATTATAGTCGTAAATTGTATTATTTAACTAGTTGAAATTAATAATTAACATTTTAAATTCTTAAAAAATAAATAAAATATGGCAGTGCGAAAGCAGAGTGCAAAACTAATATAAAATGTGAGGGTGCTTATTTTTGGATACTATGCATAATGCGGTGGTGCTTAATTTCGGTGGGTGCTTAATTTCGGAGCCGTATAGTAATTATTTCAGTTTATACAATAAAGTATGTATTATATTACAATGTAAATATTCAAGCCGAATTTATTATAACTACATAAAATTATTTGTAATATGAATTAGATATTGTTTAGAATAGTCAATTGTGTCTTGATGCTTAATGCTTAATGCTTTATACTTAATACTAATAATTATTATAGTCTTAATGCTTAACTTAATGACTGTTAACAGATATATAAACTCCCAAGATTTTTCAAAGTATAAGCAAGTCACAACTATCTCTTTTCTCTTATTTTTAGTTTAGTAACTTTTAAAAGTGTAAAAGAGTTTCTTAGAAATATAAACCTAACAAATAGTCTTATTCTTTAATAAAGTTATTATCTTTATTTATAAACTATTTTGATATTTTTCTTCTAAGATAATTTTTCCAAACAAGATTTATTATTCTTGTAGTAATAAGATTATAAATTGTTATTTTATTATATCTGAACTGCCCAGAGAAGGGTATAGTTTCTAACAAGTAAAAAGAACTATATTTCTCTTTTTAGCACTATTATAAACTTGTAAAAAATCTTTGTAACTGTATTATTGTTATAATAAGAAGCAAAAGAAGGCTTTACTACTGTAACAATATGATAGATAAGTTTTGTAAAATATATTTAGTATTTTCTCACTATAATATAAGAACTTTACTATAATATGAATATAATTACTTGTTTATCATATTTTTTTGTGTTTTTATATATGAGATCACTTTTATTTTATAATAAAATATATAAATAAAAAAAATAAATAAGATACAGTTTTCTATAAATGAACTATCAGTTCTTATAATAAAGTTTTTTATAAAAATAATTTATTATATTTTTATACCAGCTTTATAAATTTGTTAAAAAAAAGTTTTCTTATTGAATAAGCTTATTATAAAAAATTTTAATATAAAAATAATTAACTGTTTACATTGCATAGATAAATAAGATCAGAAAGTCAGTTTATTATATAATTACATTTTTGATTGTTGCCAATGCTAGATTTGCTATAAATTAAGTATTGGCAAATTAAGTGTTAGTGAAATGAACATGTCAGTAAATTAAGTATTAGTCAAATAAACATATCAATAAATTGATTGTTAAAAAACCTACTAAATAATTACAATTTTTTGAACTTAATTAATTAATTGATAGTGCAGTCACAATGAGTCAATTAATTGCAATTTTTAATATGATAAATTATTTGTGTAATGAATAAGAGTTTACTAATATATTTAATTAATAAATTCTTATTTGTCATATATAATAATTTATTACAACCATGTGATATTATTATTAATTAGGTTTCAATTAATTTTATAATAATTTTAATTGATTTCTAGTAGGCCTATTGTTAGTAAAATGTTGTGTCTATAAAATGAATATCAGTAAAACAAGCAAGATAACATAAAGTTCTTACACTATCTGTAGCAACAATAGAACTTAACTACAATATGAAATTATTGTATTTCTATTATAGTTATAGAGCCTACTTCTAAAATAAGATCCTAGTACTTCTATCATGTTTTCCATATTTTTTATATTTTTGTTACTGTACTACTCTCAAATTGGTTCTATTTGGGTATGTCTGATTCTTATGATAAAATTTTTGCACTGCTTGCAGCAGCCAAAATTTTTAACAATATATTATATTTATTTTTCTACTTAATGATTACTTCTGACCATTGTCAGTGATTAAATCTGTATGCAATAAATAATAAAATAAATAATCACTATTATCAAGTAAAACATAATTATAAGTAGTGCTCTGAATCAGGTTGGGTCAACTTGAAACCCAACCTAAAATTTTGAGTTGGGTTAGGTTTAGGTTAAAAAATCTGATCCAAAAATTTTTGATCAGATTCAGATTGGGTTCAGGTTGAACATTAACTAAACTGAATCTGACCCAAAATTATCCAAATTAGAGATGCTTGAAATAAGCATTTTATATATTTTTTTTTTGTTCTAATACCAAATATATATGTTTATAATAGCAAGTACATATGTTTATAATAGCAAGTATATATGTTTGTAATAGCAAGTACATAAATATTTTTAAATAATAGCTTAAATAAAACCACTAATCAGATTTCATCAAACAAAATTGTCACAGTAGATCCTCGATTTTGATTGGTTAACAGCCACAGATCGCAAAATTTTGGCCCACATTACATATTTTACTAATTTCCGGTCATAATATTGATTTTTTTTTACAAAAATAAATATTTTGGAAAATAATCTCGCATTATGATAAAATTTGCCAGAAATAATAATAAAGTTCTCAGTAATTCTGGCCAAATATTTTGCTCATCGCTCTTAGCCAATCAAAATAGAGAATCTGCTATAAAATTTTGGTCTTTTTTTTTTTAGGTTTAAAGAGCGATGTCTATAGCTCATGATCTTTATTAAGACTTACAACCTACAAATATTGTAGGGAGTATTACATTTTGCATATCAGTGAGGCTACAATTAGCCACTCATACAACTTTAGTTATTGTCTATTTAAAGGTTCTGCCTACAGGTTATCTACTAATTGCTATACCTGAAACCCACTTGTGGGTTTTCTATTTAAAGTCTCTGATTTTTAATGTTTTTTCTGTAGTACCAACTTAATTTTTAATAACAGACCTTAGGGCTACTTTATCCTTGACGCAAACTCTACTGAATGGAAGTAGATTTCACGACTACACCTATTTGGATTTATGGTACCAGAGGTGATTCCATATTAGGTAAGGCCAATTCTTTCTACAAACATTGATGATATTCTCTATATTTCTCACTATAGTAGTGCCCGCGCTCTGCTATACCAATTTTCTTCTGGGAATTCCTTAGATCAAATATGTATACTCCCTGACATTGATCACCAGAATTTCCAAAATTATATACAATCGATGGTCATAACCCATATTATACAAAAATTTTTTGTAAAACAAATCGTTTACCATATATACCCAAATTTTTTTTTACAGTTACACTAAATGTCAGTCTGTTCGACTATAATTTGTATTTTTTTTAAATTTTTATTTTTTTTTATCATGAAACAAAGAAAGCAACTAAGTGAGGAACAAGTACCCAAATTATTAGCACTTGGCGAAGTGGTATGAGGCTGGCAAAAATCATACAAACCTTAAATTTACCGACGAGTACCATCTATGACATTGTTAACTATTACAAAAAAAATAGGAAGATAAAACCTTTTCCTCACCTTGGGGCGGCCCCTAAAATAACTAAACATGGCATGCACCACTTTATATGCCTTTTAAAAGAAGATAAAAAGGTTAGTTTGAACATTTTGACAAATAAATTTGTAGAATCAATGTCTGTTGAGGTGTCTACATGTACCATACAATGCACCTTCATGAAGAAGAGTTTTTTGGCTAGGTCAAGAAGAGAAAACTATTCGTGAATGAAGCCTTTCACCTGTATCATTTAGAGTGGGCTGAAAATCAAGAACACTGGAATAGAAGGTAGAAAAATATTGTCTGGAGTAACGAATCAAGGTTTAAAGTGTTTGGCGGGGATGGTCGTACATATGTTTGGAGGAAATCAAAAGAAAAATATAATGTAGATTGTTTGGTTCCTATATTTAGGTCAGGAAGAAGGGGTGTAATAGTTTGGGGATGTTTTAATTACTATGGTCCTGGGCTTTTGGTTCAGGTTTTGGTAATATGAATTCAGAGGACTATACTGAGGTTCCTTGTGATTGTTTGTTGCCTTTTATAGGGTTGTATATCAGAATCCCGACACACAAAATCCCAACACACAAAATCCCGGCAACAAAATCCCAATACACAAAATCCTGACAAATTAAATTCCTAATTTTAATATTTTTAGGATTTTAATTTGTCAGGATTTTGTGTATCGGGATTTTGTTGCTGGGATTTTGTGTGTCGGGATTTTGTGTGTCAGGATTCTGATATACAACCCTTTTATAGACAGTCTAGAAAATATTGTTGGAGAAAAAAACTATCTATTCCAAAGTAACAATGCAAAAATCCATACTTCTCATTTTACCACGGATTGGCTTGAAGAAAATGATATCGATCAACTTCCTTGGCCTGCATACAGCCCCGATCTCAATCCTATTGAACATATTTGGGATAAATTGGGAGCGTTGAGTCCATAAGTATATTCCTTTGCCAAGTAGTGAGGTAGAACTATTCAATTTGCTGCAGGAGGAATGGTTTAATCTTGATTGTTCGATTTTTTGAAATCTTGTTGAAAGCATGGTTCGCCATGTTCATGTTGTAATTGATGCTAATGGATACCCTACAAGGTATTAATTATTGTAAATAAAAATTGTTTTATTTTTCTATTAAATAAAAAAAAATCAACCCAAATTGTTAAGTGGGTTGTCGAGAAATTGCAGTTGTAAAAACTTGTAAAAAAAATGATCATCATTTTATTACTATAAAATTCCGGTAATCAATGTCAGGGGAGTGTACCTTCACTTGGACTTCCACAGGGCTTCGCATCCGATTATAGGCTCCATTTTGGTTAGAGTATTTTACCTCCAGCCAGACTTGAACCGTTGACCATGTCTGTGGGGGGATGAGAGCTTAACAACTAAGCTATGGGACCCAACCCTGTCGTGAAATTTTGTAGGGCAAAATCAATAATTTTTTTTTTAATTCTATGAATCATAGGATAAAAATAAAACTTTCATTAATTCTAGTATGCAATGCACGACTTTTACTTTAGTAGTTATAAAGCATATCGAGTTTGGATTTGATTAGCCAACTTCAATAGTCATCATTACATGAATTTTAAGAG